CACTTCCCCCGCCGCTACGCCCAGAGCTTCCTGGAGCACTTCCAGGCCGAGCTGCGCGGGGCCGAGGCGCCTCCCTCCAGCGACCCTGCTGAGACCTGCAGCGACTCGTCTCCAGGGGAGCTGGCGCCTGCCTCCGGGCTCTCCAGCAGCCAGTCACGGAGCTCCGAGGACGTCTCTGCGGCAGCCGGCATCCCCCCACCCAGCACCAAGCCCAAGCTGAAGAAGCGCTTCTCCCTGCGCAGCGTGGGGCGCTCTGTGCGGGGCAGCGTGCGCGGCATCCTGCAGTGGCGCAGTGCCCCTGACACCCCCCCGCCCACAGCCGCCGGGAGCCCCGAGGATGGGGCTGCCGGGGGCAGCAACACGAACTCAAACTCTTCGGGCGGGGCAGAGGGGGAGCGCTGGACCCACCGCTTCGAGCGGCTGCGGCTTGGACGGGCTGCCCCTGCGCTGGGTAACAGCCCTGCCGCCCCCATGCCTGCCGTGCGCCGCGAGGGACTGCTCAACTACATTGTGGCTGACGACGGGGCAGGGGCGGGGGCCGGGGGGCGCCCCCCGCGCTGGCAGAGGTGCCGGCTGCTGCTGCGGCAGGCAGGCAAGGGCGAGGGGGAGGGCTTCCTGCTGGAGTTCTTCGTGCCTCCAAAGGTGAGGGGCCAGGAAAGGGCTGCGGGTCGGGAGCAAGGGGCACTGCTGTGGGTGGTTAGGGAGCTGTGGGGCAGGAGTGAGGGGCACCAGCAGCACTTGGAGTCCCAGGTTCTTTTGGTGGGAGGCTCCCCTCTCAGCCCTCGGGGCTGTGGGGCCGCTCATGCTGATTTCTCTCTGTCCCTACAGTCGACTAAGCCGCGGGTGAGTGTCCCTTGCAGTGCTGTGACGGCCGCTCGTGCCACCACACCCCTCGAGATGCCTGACCGGGAGAACACCTTCGTGCTGGAGGTAGCGGGAGGGTCCAGTGTGGGGGCTTTGTGGGGCAAGGAGGGTGATGCCAGGGGGCAGTGGAGGTTAGGGGTCATGGTCTGACCCCTACGTGCCCCCTGCGGCAGGCAGGGCTGGCAGGCGAGTTTATCCTTGAAACCGTGGATGCGCTGCAGATGCGCTCGTGGCTTGTTGACATCCAGGACTGCCTCAGCCCCAGGTGAGCGCCGTAGCCCCGGTCCCTCAGACCTTCCTGGGCCCCCGACCCATTTTAGTGCCTCTTCCAGATCCTGACACTTTTCCCTTTGACTTCTCCAGGAACTTTCTGCACTCCCCAGGTTTCTCCTGGCCTTTCTTTCCCCCCACCCCCGTGCATACCACTAGACCCTTGCACAGGTTTTGGGGTCCCCTCTGGCGCTGGGGCAATGCTGGGTGGGCGGGAGTCTTATGCACATAGATGCCTCCATGCTTACAACAGTGTCCTCTTTGCAGGGAGGAGATGGGCAGTGTGGACCCCCCGTTCCTCAACCACCACGCAGGGGGGCTGCCCAGCCGGGACCCTCCCCTGGTGCCCAGCGACAGCAGCGAGCAGCTCTCCCAGGGTGAGTACATGCCCTCAGTTCCCAGCAGTGCCCCACACTTCTGTCCTCTGGCCCCCCACAGCCATGCTTCTCGTTCCCAACCCACAGAACTCCCTCCCAGCAGCACTTTTTATTTCTAATCAACAGCCTCCCCCAGCGATGTCTCTCATTTCTGACTTGCAGCCCCCCAATGCTATTTCTTGGGGTGTCATGGGGGATTACACGTGGGCACTCATCTCGTCCACCCACAGGTGCCTACGGGGGTCTGTCCGAGCGCCCCTCGGCCTCCATGTCCCCAGGCTCTGTTGCCGCCTCCTGCTTCGGCTCCCTTGAGCTGCTGCCTCCTGAGCTACCCCCCCGCGTCCCCCTCGACGAGCTGCCCCCTCTGCCTCCGCCCGGGCTGCCCCACAGTGATGCCTCTGATGCCACAGGTACTCATCTCTGGTGCCAGGCCTGGAGCTCTGGGGGTGGCTTCTGTGGGGGGGGGGGGGGGGGGTGAAGGGGGCGGGGGGGG